GGCCCGGGGGGGGTGGGGCCCGTTCAAAATCCTTATTTTTTTGGGGGGTTGGGAGGTTTACCCTTTTTCCCCCCCAAAATTTGGGGGGGGGGACCCTCGTTGGTGGAAAATGTGGGGTTCCCCCCCCCCCCCCCCCGTCCCCCCAACCCCTCGTTTGCCATGACGTACCCCCCCCGGCTGGTACTACTTATTGCCGTCATCTTTGCACCTGGCCGATGATGATGGTCGGCAGGAGGGAGAAAAGTCGGGCCAAAACGCCGATCGCGTGCTAGCCTGTCGTAAAATGGACTATGTCTGAATTGCAGGCTAACGACCGGCCGGAATGGTTTAATATATTATACTTGAGCACTATTTTGTAATAGGTTCTATTCTCTCTTGGACAACTGAAACTGCCCCCCCGCTCTTCGGCAAAAATCTGACAGACGTGCTCCACGTCTTGGCGCTTCAAGTGTACGATGGTAAATGACGGTACACTACGGCTGCGCACGACGACCACGACAACACTAAACCAGTCTCCCTCGTAGGCCAAAACACGTTCACGTCACCAGGAAACACCGCCTCCGCTCCAAGCTCAAAAATACACCCATCAGTCTCGTCACGCCCGCCGAAGGAGCTGCGCTATCAACTCGTTCGAGTAGCGGACGCGCTTGTTGATGTCTGACCTACTGCAGTTAATGGGAGCCAAGAGGGATGCAAAGCCGTCACGAGGGGGGGGGGGGTGTCGAAAACGATCAGATGTGAGCACTATTCAGTGAAATGCGCATTGGAGAGCGATCAAGATTCCTGCCTCGGTCCAATCCTGACAGTAGCGTTACTATTGCCACAACAAGTTCTCATCGGTTCAAACATCCACACATCACTGCTCGTTCGCCGTTGTCGAAATAGCGGCCCTTCTTTTCGGCGGATGAAAGTCTAGGGCTCCGTCTTATTCCAGTAAAAGGGCCGCCGCATGCAAAAGCGCCTTGTACAATACACACACACACACACACCTCTGATCCTGGAGCACTCCCTGAAGGGAATGAGTCTCGCGGTTGCCGTGCTTGTCGACAAACGTCACCACGCGTGCCTCGTTCGAGAGCAAGATCTCGGTGTGGTCCGCAAACACCACCTGGAACGACATCCATCCACAGACAGAAAGTGGAAGTGGCGTCCGTGAATTGTAGAGAACACATCAATTCCATCCATCCACGGACAGACAGACGTTCATATGACAAAAGATATTTTGAAGCGAGCTCTCAATCAATCAAGCACACCAAAGTTTTGTCGAGTGCGGTTCCCGCCCCCGTCTTTCCTTGGGCCACTATTTAGCCTGACGGCGGAACGCTAAACAATACGCACATGTCGGCAACCAGAAAACAGCACGGCCGACAGAACGTCAAAAGTAACCAACCCCAACCACCCGCAGTCGCACCCACCGGGCGGGTTTCTTCAAGCGCCTTGATGTTCGTGCACGAGAGATCAAGGAAGCCAACCAACGCGCGCCGTAAACACTGCGCAGAAAATCCCAATGCGCACTTCCCTTACCTGCACGGTGCGATTGCTCAGCCGAAACAGGATGGCGTTGCGAGTTCGCAGCCACTTCCTCAGGAACGTCAGCGGCTCTCCCCCTTCCCCTTGGGCCGAAACCGCCTCCTCTTCCTTCCCCTCACCAGAAAAACCGCTAGTGCCGACGTCCTTACCCTTCTTGACCAGCTCGTGGAGGTATCCCCGGAAGTGGTTCAGGAGGGTCACCTTCTTCTGGAGCTCCGGAGGGAAGTCCTCCAGCGTGTGCCTCGCGCGCGGCGGCTGGTCCCCGGTGCCGCCGGAAGCCGGCGAAGAAGAGGTCGACCTGCGCGTGCGCTCGATGTACTCGAACGCGACACCGGCCGGCTCCAGGACGATCTTGGTTGCGTCGTTGAAGTAAACGCCGGCGCTCCCGTCCGACAGCAGGAAGCCGAGGCCGTACTTGGTCGAGTAGTCCACGTACCGCGTGACCCACACCGTTGGGGCCGGCGGCAGCGGCGGCGCCGCCGCCGCGATCGCTGCTTCTCTTGCCGCCGCTGCGGCTGCCGATGCCCTCGTCCCGCGGGCCGCTCCGGACCGGCTCGGCGCGCTGCTACCGGCGGCGCCGGCGGCCGGACCCGCCGCGAAGCTATTCACTAGCAACTCGTGCATGTTTTCTAGGGTATCCCTATCCAGGTCTACAGCGGGACAAGAGCCCCCCGCTCCCGAGCTCGCCGCCTCCGCTTCCCGTCGTGATGCAGAGCTCGCAACAACACCATCCTTCGCTCTTGACGGGCGCGACACAACTCCGCGGGAGTCTGCAGCGCTAGCGGCGGCAGCAGCAGCAGCAGCAGCCGCGCCTCCGGTTTTCGCCGGCCTGGTCGATCGGCCTCCTCTTCCTCCTCCGCTAGACGGCCCCGCCGCAGCAGCACCAGGAGAACCGCGCTGCCTCGTCGATCTTGGCGTGCTCCCGAAGTCCAACCGCTGCCGCGCATCCCCCCTGCTCTTCGTCTGGCTCCGGGGAGTCGTCCCGCCCCCGACCGCGACCATCCTAGTGCTCACCCTGCTGCCGCCCCCGCCGGAAGCCGGGCCAGGCAACGGAGATGATCTGTACGGGGATGGTGTCGGCGGGGACCCGACCGGCGTGCCCCTGGAGGCGGCGGAAGAGCGACCACGCGGAGTAACCGCCCCTGCTGCTGCAGCGCCCGCTGCCGCCTTCTTCCCTCTGGAGCCGTACTCTCCCCCCGTTTCCCTAGCCGACGCGACGCGTCGGTGGTCCGCCTGCGTCCCGACCGCGCTGGCGGACCGGCGGATGCTCGCCTTTCGGTTGCCGCCGGCGGCGAGCCCCTTCGCACCGCCGCCGCCGGTGCTGTTCCCCTCGGCCCTATCACGGCCGCTCGCGCGGCCGGAAGAGCCCACTGAAGAGGCCGACCGCACGACAGGCCGGCGAGAGATGGGTCCATTGACGGGCACCCGCACCCCGCCGGTCCCACCGCCGCCGATTGCCGAGCGGGGATCGTTCTCCTTGTCCCCACCGGGAGACTTCACGGCCGCCTCGGCGCCCCCCGAGCCGGCGGCGGCGGGACTCCTTCTGCCGCCGCCGCCGCCGCCGCCGCCGCCGCCAGCCGTAGAAGCGACCCGCCTGCCGCTACTGCTCTGCGCCCCGCCGCCGCTAGCGCCCACCCCTCTGCCTCGACTCCCAGCTGTTTCCTTGGTGTCGCAGTATACGCTGAAGCCCTTCGTGTTGTGGGTGCGAGGAACGACCGAGCGCGATGAGGTGGGACAGGCAGTAGATCGCTTGGAGGCGTGCCGCCCATCGGGCACGTCTCTCCCTCCGTCTCCTCCAGATTTCCCTGTGAAGGGGGGGAAGGCAAGGAACGGACGGACCCGTGGGCCGGATGGCGCAGGGCAGGGCGGGACAAAGAGGGACCATGACGAGACGGCCAGAGCGCGTGTTGTCTACGTTTCCGGTGGAAAAACGACAAACTTCTAGTGGTGGAACCAACCCTCTTTCACCGCAGACGCCCCGCTGGTTCAACAGGGGAGAGGACTTGGGAGCCTAAACCAGAGAAGGACAGCCAGCTAGGGCACAAAACAGGCCGGGCACCAAGGTAAGACCAACGGGCGGCACACGGCACTCCAAAACGCCAAGCTACATACATACCCATCGGCGTCGGGGTCCCAGACCTCGCCTTCGCCAAACGGGCGGCGCCCTCCGCCGTCGCCGTTACACCGCCCCCCCCCCCCTCCGGCGCCTCCGCCTCCACGTTAGAACTCCTCGTCTTCAATGGTGGCCGCCCGAACCCTCCGCTTGCGGTGCCGCACCGCTCGGGAGTGCCGCCGTGCTTCTGCGAACCCAAGCGACCAGCGGTAGAACTCGAGCCACCGCCGCCGCCGGCGCTGGTGACGGCGGAGGAGGGCGGGGAGGAGGATGCCGACGAGCCTCGGAGCCCATGAGAGGTCGAGAACCGTTGCCGGGGCCCGCCGTTCCGCAGGAAGGGGTGGTTGAGGATGTCGTCGAGGGACGGGCGGAGCTCCGGCTTCACCTGCGGTATGTAGCGCCGAGTCGGAGACCGGGGTTTCTTGAGCAAACGAATCGAAACAGCAGACAGCAGGGCTACGATGGAGTAAGGAAGTGGACGAAGGTATCGTACCGCAAAGAACACGAGGATGAGATATCCCGCAAAACAGATTGCAACCCAAGCCAAGGTGCGACTACAACCCAAGCCAAGGTGCGACTACAACCCAAGCCAAGGTGCGACTACCATTTACCGTGGCACGTTTCAAGCAACCTCTCTCCTCTTGGTGTCAACCTCAATATCTATCATCCATCTGGCTATCTGCTTCTCACGTGTGTGTCTGTCTGTCTATCCGTCTGTTTGCCTGTCTGTTTACGTGTCTCTCAGTCTCGACACGCCTCGATGCACGCATGCACGCAATCATGCTTTCGTACGCCCATCTTCTGCCACCTAGGCCTGCCCACGCACCCAAACACGAACATGACACACATCACAGCCCACCTGGAGCAGCCTCCCCACGAGGTCTTTGGCGCTATCGCTGACAGGAACCGAGTCCGGAAAGGTGTAAACGTTGGCCAGGATGCGGCGGTAGGTAGACTTCACGTCGGTAGACTCGTAAGGGGGCCTTCCCACCAACATGGTGTACAGGATCACCCCCGCTGACCACAGATCCACCTTTTGAGGAGATACCAACACACACACACACATCACCGTTACCGTTACCGTGGTCAGTGCAACATGGGGATAGCGAGGGGGGGGGTACAACAGCTAAGACGCGGGGAGTACCTGGACAAAATAGAATCATTCATGAAACGTGGGTTGGGTCGAGATTAGGATTGTACTGAAGATGGAGATGGAAAAGTATTCGTTCAACGACAGGAGCCTCCCGGGGCTGAGACAAAAATAACAAGGCGCCATACACACTGTAATCAGGAAGGGCTAGTCGCGTACACGACAACGAGAGCCTGCGGCCTAACTCGCAAAAGAGAACAGAGCTGAAAAAACAACCTCCACGCTTGCTCGTACTGGTGTCGCTGGCAACTAATAGTCTTCCTACCAACACCACGAAAGACGTAAGGTTGGACCGGGGCGATTGCTACAAGGCTCTGACCAGAGACCGGAAAAGTTTTTCAAGTGCAGACAACAACGACAACAACATACCACCAAAATCTGTGTACCCTCCCCTTTCCGTTAGTCACCTGATAGCTGTGCCCCGCCTTCCCCTCCAGGATCTCGGGTGCGATGTAGTTGGGGGTTCCGCAGATTGTTCTTTTTCGCTCACTGTCTTGGGCCAGCTTGGTCGCCAGCCCGAAGTCTCCCATCTGCGAATCATTATCATTCCGTTCAGAGTTAGACTTAGCCTTAGGGTTAGGGTTAGAGTTCGGTCAAAAAGGCAGCGGATGAGTCGCGCAGCTGCGAACTAGTCGCGGTAGGGTTTAGTCCATGAAGCAGGGTTAAAAAGTGGCCAATCTATTCGAATGTCCGAACGATCCTTATTTGTCGGTTTGCACGGGGAAGAATTGATTCGGTTTTGTTAACAAGGCGGAGATTAGATCTCCCATGGGTGCATCATTTAAAACAACGACGTCTCGGATAAGACATGCGATAAGGACGGTTGGACCGTCATTATTCCCACGAAAAAGATGGCTGATCGGGCGGGCATCTCGCGCACGGATGTCTTGTCGTCTAGACCACTATCGACAAACACCACCTTCTCTTTCCCAACACGTATTTACCGTAAATGACACAAGATAACACACCCCCTAGACCGATTTTCAAATCTCGATTTCTCAACAGCAGAAGAGCCACAGCACCGAAAACGGTGGCGTTGAAGCTGTCTGGTCGAGAGTTTTCCGAAAATGTATTGTTTCATTTATGCATCCTCTTCGTCGTGGCGTATTCGAGCTTTGAAAATTGGTCCAGGGGGTGTCTAATCTTGTGTCATATATGGTAGTCGTTCAACTCCAGCAGAGCTCTTGTCTTCGGCGAAGCGAAAAGACATACAACTCACAGAAAAACATTAGCTCCATTTTAGTGTACCAATGTACTACGAGTGTGACGCAGGCGGCCATCCACGTGCGGGTACGTTAATGACAAATCCAATCCACCGCATGCGTTTACGCTAAGCTCTCAGCATGCGAACCAAAAGCTTGTCGGTTGTCTTCATACTGGCAAACCCCGCAGACCTCTTGAACAAACACGCAGCAGCATCAGCTGTCCCTTGATCTTCAAAGCGAATACCTCACCCAACCGAACGCAAATATCGCGCGTCGCTTCGCTGCTGTCTCCGCAGGAAACGCTTACACGAAAACATGATTTGTTTGTTCGTTCCCGTCTCTCGGCCGAGCAACTTGCCCCCGCCGCACAAGCGCCGTCCAAAACAAGTCAACACACAAAAAAAAAAAATGTAACGCTGAGAAGAAGAAGCAGACACACCAGCCTACGGCATGGAACCGAGCGCCAGACAACCTGATCTCCGACATTCAGGTTCTACGAGGAAGTATAGTGGGTGAGAGTTGAGAGTAATCTCCGTCGAAATCAATCTCCGTATTCCCGCGCGCGCAACACAATCACGGCGAGAGCATCAAGCCACAAACGAACACAAAAACACACACAAAACGCAATATTTCCCGAAACAACAAGCAGGTCGACTTATAAAGAAAGGACCACAAAGGCGACCAGCGAACAACCAACCTTGATGTTCCAGTCGCGGTCCAAGAAGACGTTGCCGAGCTTAAGGTCGCGGTGAATGATCTGGTGCTGGTGCAAGTAGCTCGTAGCCTCCAGGATCTGCAGCATGTACCGCCGGGCCTCGTCCTCCGTGAAGCGCTTCGTTTTTCGGATGAGCTTCCGATAGGGACTGCTCACGGAAAATCGTGTGGGGGGGGGGGGGGGGCGTACTCTAACGTTTAGCATGTCTTCGAGGTTACACTATTGACCGCGTCTTCGAGAGCACGGAGCATTGTTCCCAGAGGACCGATCACCGTGAGGGGGAGAGGGATACACGGCATAAATGAAAGAGGGATAAGAGGGGCGCGGTGGGAGAGGCCGAACGGAGCACAAGCGCAGCGGTCACCCTTACCCGATTGCCCCGCCTTCGAGCTTGCGAAACAAACAACCTATGGTATGCTCCAACTGCAACGAAAGCATCTGATATCTAAAGTTCTTCATGATACGTGTGTAGTACCTAATGAATTCTCGCACCCTAGCTGATGGCACGGGGATGTCGAAAGTGCTCCATTTGGTGGAGATTAACGCGTAACCAATAACGTGCCGCCCACGGGCGTCTTTGCCCTTACATCATGTACCAACGGGTGCTGCAGGCATAGCCCACGCGCGTAGACGCGCGTTCTCATGTATCACACGCGTGGAAGTAGAAGCACCCTCCCGACGACACGAAGGCCTACTCACGTGGTTGGCGCAGAGCTCCAGCAGGATGTAGACGTTTTCTCTGTCCTCGAAGAACATCTCAAACCGAACCACGCGGGGGTGCTGCAGCGTGCGGTGGATCTTGATCTCGGTCTGGAGCTGCACGCAAGTACGACACATGTTACGTACGTACGTACGTACGTACGTACGTACGTAACGTGCGTGTGTGTTTATTGTTAGCATCGACGGCGCTAACCGACTGCTGACCAATGGCAAGACGTCGGTTTCAATTTCGTGTGTGCGATAGACGACGAACAGCGGAGAACTGACATGTTGGCACGGGGAGGGAGGGTCCGTCATGCACCGAGAAGAGCGGTTTGCTGGGGGAAAGCGCCACTCCACCAATCGCCCCAAGTGAGACAGCACAGGAACACCTCATTTGACAGACAGCCTGCTTGAAAAAGCAGTGGACGACCGACTGACAAGTCTCTTGTCGCTATGTAGGGCGCCTGACGCCCTCGCGGCGACGTTCGATGATCTTCCTCCTTGAGAAACGACTTTTAGGGCTTGTAGGGCGCGAAAAGAAACGCTGTTGAGTTTCGGGCTCTGCACCTGCAAAATATCAAAATATGGCGTTCGTGCCCGGATATACTCGCCGCCATGGGAGGAATCTTCCATCTAAATTACAGCCACTGCGGTTCTCCCAGCAAGGTTACAGGTGTACACTGCTGTAACACAGCACTTCTCCACAACGGCTAGGGTTTAGTTTACTGCTACACGTTCGCACTGCCCTCTGCCATCGCCGTTCCTATAAAAGGGTTCCTGCTCCAACCAGCTCAGACGAGACGCGCCCGTACAGCAGGAACTCTACACTCGAGGAGACAACATGCACAGCAAGCAGTGCATGCATTACTCTCCCGTAGCGCAGGCTTAAGGGTCCGATCCGCGTCCGCAACGGCAGCCGCAGCAGCAGCAGCAGCCGGAAAAACAACCAACTTGCTGAGATTCACAACGCAACAACATTCACCAGCCCGAGAGGGAATTTTCTTTATAGCACCTGCACTACACACATACACACACAAACCTTTTGGCGCGCCCGGCTCTTCACCAGCGTGCTCTTGGGCACGATCTTCATCGCGTACGGCCGTGCAGTCTCCACGCAGGTCACCTTGTAGCAGTGCGCGAACCCGCCCTTTTTCCGTGGGGGATCCCCCGGGCAACAGCATCCCAGCAAACAAGGGAGGAATACAAATACATATCGAGATGTTGGATGTGTGTAGAGATCGCAGCAACGAGATGTACATGACACTCCAAGGCCGCGGCAATTGGATCCACCTGGCGGCGCTCTGCCCTGCCCCGGGTGCTTGCCATGCCTAGTCTCAGGAGGACAAGGATCGTCCATGGACGAAGAGCGCAACACACACACGCGGAGCTCGGAACCAAACGGCTTCCCGCCGCAAAGCTGCTGTTGAGCTCTTTTTTTTTTCCCGATGACGGTGGAAGAATCGCATCATGTTTTCTCCGTGCTGTTATGCACACACCCTCACCTTTCCGAGCAGCCTGCCCTTGCGGAACCGGTGCGTGACGACCGACTCCTGCTTGGAGTTCTTCTTGCGGCACTCGATGATGACCGGCTGGGCATCTTGGGATGCTGGCAAGGATGAGGCTTTGCCCGGATGCTGCTGCTGCTGCTGCTGCTGCTGCTGCAACTGCTGGCGCGTTCCCGGTTCCGCCTCCTTCCTTCGATGCTGCTCCTGGTCCTCCATCCGCAAGGGCATCCTGATATCTACAGTAGCAGAGGACTGCTGAGGTGGTGTCCGTTCAGCCTCCAGCGGCAGGCACAGCGGTGATTTGCTCTGTGGGCGTGGTTCCCGATGCTGGTGCTGGTGCTGCTGTCAACTAACTGCTGTAAAAGCAAACGGGATGCTGTTGGATTTGCCACACTTCCTTATCGATAAACGTGCCAACAGCTGCACGTTTGCTCCACGCGGTCGATAGCAGTCCCAATAGGACTCCCCGTCCGTTGGACTCTCGTATCTCTCTCGTTCTGTTTGTGGCCGTCTCTCTCTCTCTCTCTTCGGGCCTTCGGTACTGCTGTCGGCCGTTAGCGCGTTAGCACAAAAAGGGGCGTTCCACATCGAAGCTGCATTCCGCGAGGGGATGGGGATACACATGTTTTTTTCTTTTTTTCTTTTTCTGGCGGGGGCTCCTCATCGGGCGGGGGGGACAGGGGATGAATGGCATGTAAATGTTGTTGCCCTCAACTTGTTGCCCTTGGTTGCCCTGTGCCCAGCACGCGCGGATATCACCTATAGTTAGCGACGTCCGCAATACGAGCAGCAACATGAACATAGGGACCAACCTAGCTCTAAAACCGAGCTCCCTTCATGTACATACCATTTCTTTTTCATACCTCGCTTCAAGACAAAAATCTGTTGAGTAAAATGGCGTCGGCGCCATCGCGGGATCTGTATTTTGTATTTTGTAGAACGAGCGTGAGGAGTGTGATGGTACACAATAACTGCTACTCACGTTCCGTGTGTTGTTTGGTACCGTCGGACAACGAGAATTTCTCCAGTCAAGGACAGGCGTCCCTTCTTCAGCAGAACGCTAGTCGCCGTTAAAAACCGTGACGTAAGATATCACACACCCGGGACCGATTCTCCAAGTTCGAATTCTCCACACAGCAGCAGCAGAAAGAGAGGCAGCGCCGATAATCGCGGCGTCGAAACCTGTCTCGTCGAGAGCTTTCCGAAAACGTATCCTTTCATTCATGCGTCCTCTTCGTCGTGGAATAATCGAGCGTTGAAAATCGGTCCTGGGGATGTGGTATCTTGACTATGTAGTACTTACATACAGAAATTTTTTTTTTTCTGTTGACACCTGCGTCTGTCTGGTCTGACAAACGAAACATGGTTCATTCTGCTCGCGTTCTGAAGCATCATGTACGGATTTTTTTTGTTATTAGCATCGACCGCGCTAACCGGCTGACCAACGAAAAGACGTCAGTCTCAGTGCGGTTGAAAACACGAAACACTTCGAAATGCCATTAACTGGGAGCCCGTGAGGGGGCGGCATGGGGAAGGCCAAGCTATTCTCCGGATCAAAGACACAAACGGTAGCAACAGAGGAAAACATAGATGATCTTTCCTCCACTCACTGAAAAGACTCCACCACATCCCGTTCGACTGTGGGTATATCTCGAATGGGTAGTCTTTCTGTGTATTTATTTTCCTTAATAGATGGATCTGTCAAAGGTATAGACTAACAACCCCCGAATCCTTCCGGTGGCTATATTTAATTTATCGCATCATGTGCTGTCGAACAGGAGCACTAATCATACAAGACCGTGTGACACATCTCACACTGCCCGCCGTAGTTTGGGTGCTGCAACAATAAAAGCGGGTCGTCCAGAGATGATCGATGGTGGTGTTGATTCATTTGTTCCACGAGGAACCTTTCGCTTAACATTCACAACAACAAGCCCCGTGCGAGAGTTTCATCATACAGTATGATGAATGTCGAGACCCATGCAACACGCAGAAAATAATATTTCCACCCCAATTGCCACCCCTCGAAAACTGGCTTGTTGAGCCTGTTGCCCAAGGGGAGGGAAGGGCTGAATGTTGCCCAGGAAGCAGTTAGTTGTAAAACACAGGTTGGTCATCACGCAACGCTATGAATATTCACTGCTAATTTATCCCAGACTCTTATCGGTGGATAGCGATGAGATAATTCATCAACTCTTTGAAATTCTTAGCACACCAAGGACAAAAAAAAAAAAAAAAAAACACCTATTACTCGTATCCCGTGTCCCGAATCGATGCCCTCCGTACAATGATACCGCACGCGCTTCCCGCCTGCCCTCTCACCGCCATCCGGAAAAGAGAGGTCTACCCACAAAGAAAGGCATTCCTCACCCAACCCTGCAAGCCTTTCCCGAAATGTCTTACATTACAACCAGCAACAACACGCTGAAAAGGAGACGTGCGTGTTTTGTACCCCAGCAAACCCTCGTCAGGGCGGGGGAGGGGGGTACACATCTCTTGAAATTATTCTACCTGTACAAACGTCCGGCGTCATCGCTACCTCCTCCACGGCCCAAAAAGATCGCGACGGGTTCGTCGCGGGCATGGAATGCTCAACTGTCACGAATCTTCATCAGGAATCGTTTTCTTCTGCGGTGTGGTGTACCACAGCACAGCCACGCAAGCGACTTTGAAATCTACAAAAGTGTTCGAATGAGTGTCCATGCAACACGGAAACTCTGGTGTTACACTTGAGAATATTTCATTAGGATATGCTGCGTACGCCACTACTGCTGTACTGCTGCCGTTGTTGGGCGTCAACTCGCTATTTACACTCTGCCCCCGCCGCTGCTGCTGCAGCAGCCATCATACTGCGTGGCAAGCATGTACCCTCTTGGTCGTGATGGGGAAAACACCAGGTCAACCACCAAGTCCACACCAACCAGACATCTATATAGCTCGACCACCGACAGACAAAGCAGCAGTCAAGATTTTCCTCGACACGCGAGACGGTAAACGCTGCAATCGCACCGCCGCATTAACCTCCCCCTCTCGCAACTTTACCCCAACGCTCTCCCTAGCCACTCCACACGTTGACTCTCACCAGCAGCTTGAGGCACAACTCTATGCCAAAAAAAGAGCAAAAAAGCCTCCACACAGACAGGCATTGCCGTCCCAATCAAAACCCACGACGACGCAAGCGGCCTTTGCCACTTACCAAAGAGAGCGAGAGAGGTTAATCTTACCCCGTTTTGCCGAAATACAAGCATGGCACGCCCCAAATCCAAGCCCCGTCGCGGGTAGGTCAACCAAGCCTTCGGGCGCCTACCCCGCACCCCCTCCCCCCCCCCGGTCAACAATGCGGAACCCCCGGTTGAGAGGGAGGTGACCTCGTACCCGCATCGCAAGAAAACAGAATTACCGAGACACGGAAAAAAAAAAATCTTCCTCGCTTCCCGCTGATGCACGCAACAATAACCACGCCTTTTGCCACATCATCCCCCGAACCCACACCTTCGTCGCATCCCCTGAGCGATACTACAATTGTACAGCAGGAGGCGATGATACTCCCGGCGTTGATCAATCAGGCTTCTCGGCCTTGTTCCTCCTCGAGCCCTCCCTCGTCTCTGTTCCAATACCCCAGGACGCCCCGGATCAGCCCCGCCCTCCGCACGCCCTTGGCAAGGGTTCCGACTTCCCCCACTACCTCCTTCGCGATGTCCTGCCGCACAAGACCGCCCACGATAGTTAGCATCGGTATGTATCAGAATGGGGTTTCAACGGAGCGGGCGGGGGGGGGGGGGGGGGGGAAAACCCAATTTTTTCAAAAAAAAACCCCCCTAAAAACCCTTTGGAAAAAAAACCCTTTTTTTTTTTCAAAAAAAATTATAAAAATTTTGTAAATTCCCCCAGGGGGTTTTAACCAAATAAAACAAACGAAAGGGAACACCCCCCCCCCTTTTGCGGGAGGGGGGGTTCCCACCCCCCCCAAAAAAAATTATTCCACCACCCTTTATGGGTACCCCCAAAAAAAAAAAGAAAAAACCAAAAAAAAACGGGAAACCGG